AAGATAATCCAGAACATTTATCGTACCAAAGTCTTTATCCAGAAACACTTTAAAACCGTTGATGTCTCCTGCAGCTTCTGCTGTAATAATCCTGGAACACTTGATGATCTGTTCTGGACCTGCCCACTAATCCAGTCCTTCTGGAACCACATTTATTATTTCATTAAGAGAAAATAGACAAAGATTTTATTTTATTTTGGAAGACTCTACTATTCGGCATTAAGGGAAATTGCAAGTCTCAACCAAAGAGATCAGATAAGGTATATTTAATTGACCTGATTATTATTATGGCCAGGTTTTTATACATAAATGTAAATATAAAGGCTCCAAACCGGCATTACTGCTTATAAGCAGCAACTTAAACAATATTGACAGCAAAAAATTATCAGAAAATAAGAAAGAAATCAAAACTAGAGAAGCTTTTGTCCTTTTTAATCTTCTTATTTAGACAGCTGTTTCCCCCTAGTGTTTACTTTTAGTTAATAGATGTACTATTTTATTTATTCTACTTTTTTTCTTGTCTTTCTTCCTTACTGTCCAACATTTACTGAACTGTTAAACATCTGAATTTACACCTGTTGAAAATGTCTGTAAAAATGGTTGCTAAGGTTACCTGTAGTGCAGTAAGGTTGCTCTGTGATGTTCTTTGCAGAAACAAATAAAATTGCATTGGAAAAAAAAAACCATTAAACAACTATAAACAGAAGAAGTTCCGCCCAGCCTGACGGCCCCATCACCACAGCCAGAGTAACATCAGCCTCTGGCTTCATGGCGGCACCAAACCTGCTGATAAATAATCTAATCATTTGTTCGCTGAGGCTCCACCCTGATGACCGATCAGCTACGCTAAACCGGATTACTCTGGTTTGGGGAATATTATGTTCTGTTAACATCCGCTGAAAATGTCTCCTCTGCCCTGGAACTAATCGGCTTATCCGGGCGGTGCGCCGGCGTGAAAATGATGCGGAGCCTCCTGTCCGAGTTATAACCAGCTGGACAGCGGCGGTTTTAGACTGAGACAGATTTATCTGTTTAAACAAAATGTCTCCGACTGAAGATTAAAGTATTTGAAAATGCAAACTACTGCGAACACTCACCGTCTGTTAGTGACTACATGACGGACTTTGTTCTGCTTCTTTTCTCTGGCAGAACAGACGCGTCCGCGCTCTTCTTCTTCTTCTTCTTCTTCTTCTTCTTCTTCTTGGTTTGGCTTCTGGGCGGTGAGCTCACTGCCGCCACCTCCTGGACCATAATATTACTTTCTCCTGCCTCACGATTCTAACTTTATATTCTACCAGTTCTACTTTGCAACAAATGCATCTTT